GTGCACAAACTAACCTTAGAAATGGAGAGAAGAATTAGGTAACAGTTGTTGATTTCCCGAGAACAAGGAAGGGGGCTGATGACTAGACTGCTCAGGGATGAAACATGGGAAGTGTAAGGACTTTATTTTTTCACTGTATACCTTTTACACCTTTTGAATTTGTATCATGCCTACTCACGTGATTTCTCTTAGACAAACTTCAACTCATTGACTAGGCAAAAAATCAGGGATTATGACCTAGAACTGGAATTAGGAGCTGCAATGGTAACCAAAGCCTGAAACTAAACTATCATTCACATATTCCTTAGTTGATCCTATAAAAAGCTTTGTAAGATAAAAGATGGCAACTTTCCTCTAAATTCATATATCTGTAACAGATGAGCTTGTGAAACATGTCTAGCTATATATTCAATATACTACCAATTTATAATCTTGCTCCGTTTAGAGTAAAATACCTGAAAATCTCCTTCTGTGCCCAGCCCGTGTTTTCACACCCACAGAAACAGGAATGTCACCAGTGCTAACACAGCATAGTCCAACCTTGAAAAGCTCCAACTGCTCCAAACTTCCTGACTTGTTAAGCTGTGCCCTGTGGTTTCTACCTGTGGTCAGCATCAGGCCCAGGGGTTACCCGCTGAGGTGCTCAGCAATTAGGAGGGAGGCAGACAGAAAGAAAATCAACTGTCATGATAGTTTAAGAATAGGACCGGGCTGTAAGGAGGAGAAGGGCACTGATACAGAGGAGGACACCTGACACAGCTGGGGGAGAGGCGACGTCAGGTTAGTGTATGAGAAACAGGACTTAATGAGGTAAAGCAGGGGGAAGGGCATTTCTAGCAGGGCAAATAGCAGCAGTGACATGGAACCTTTAGGAGACTGCAAGGCAGACAACACGGCACTAACCAAACGGCTGGGAGGAGGCCCAAAGAAAGGTCAGGAAAAGATCACCAACATCTCCTAGGAAATCAGAACTGCATTCTGAGGGCAGCAGAAAGACCTAGTCTAGAGGCTAAGCAATCAGTGGGAAGACCATTCCTTATTTGGGAAAAACAATGAAGATTCAAACTAAGAACGAGGCTTTGGGTCCCAAGAGAGACATAAAATGCATTCAAGATGTAATTATGAGAGGACCAGCTGGACTTACAAGGTGTAGGAGAAGGAGACTGGGATCCCTTCCAGACTGGGGCTTGGACATATAAATAAATGGAGATACCCTACTACAAGTCATGAAACTTCTACCACACCAGAAGTATCAGACCAGCCACAGCAGACAAAATGTGCGCTCAAGGTAGAGAAAGCATATTCTACAAGATAATGAGAACGCTATGGAAGAGTTAATTTGAGCTGTATCAAGGCTCCTCCTGGGTCCTCCCTTTCAAATGCATAAATATTCATCTGTGCCCCCTTCTGTCTACCTGCTTCCTCGCAACTTGCTCCTGTGACAAGCTCCCAAAATTCAAACACCACTCCCTGAAACTCACTACAAATAAAAACATCCAGCGTGCATATCTTTAAAAACAAGTAAGAGGTTTCAATCTGTTCAATTTTTTTTTTTTTAAGATTTATTTATTTTAAAAGCAGAGTGAGAGAGAGAGAGCTTCCATCCACTGGATACTCCCAAATAGCTGTGACAGTCCAGGACGGGATGGGCAGAAACCAGCAGCCAGAACTCCTTCCAAGTCTCCCACGTTAATGGCAGGAACCCAAGTACATGGGCCATCTTCTGCTGCCTTCTCAGGTGTGTTAGCAGGGATCTGGACTAGAAGAGAAGCAGCTGAGACTCGAACTAGTACTCCAATATGGGATACCAGTGTTACAGGCTGTGGCATAACCGACTGCACCACAGCACCGGCCCTCATCCTGCTCAGTTCTAACTGCCATTTCCCACACTGTCCTTTTACTCACAGATCACAACCTGCACACTGGCCTAGGAAACGTTCTCACAATATATCATATCAGAATTCTTTTTCCCTAAGTGTATGCAGAAATAGTCATAGTCTGCTCGAGATCAGTAGCAGTACCTAGACTAGAATCCTCTAGGAGACTCCCCATTATTTTAAAAAGATGTATCTTTTGTTTTTATATTCATCAACATCAAAGACAGAAAGTGAAACAAAGAAGCAACTATGAGTTCTGGAGGGAATATAAGAAGTTTCTCTGCCTGAAAGATGTTCACAGAAGTGCTGGATCTCTGGGGGTGATCATATTATACCAAATCTACTGTAACCACCTCTCGTCAATAATCCCAACAATGTCATTTTGGAACATATGTGTTATTATCTAACACATTGCGTGAACATCACCAGTCATAAGTGACATCATGTGCATTCTGTGGTGTCCCGCCAAGAGACATTCCTGAACCTAATCACAGGGAAACTTGAGACAACTCAAACCAATGAACATTCTACAAAATAACTGGCCCATAGAGTTCAAAAATGTCAAGATCGAAAAGCACAAAGAAAGGCTTAGAACAGGTCCAGGTTAATAGGAACTTAAGAGATATGTACAAACTAGCAAAAACTAGCTATACAGAGCATTCTTGGGAGAGCTGATGAAATATGAGTACTATGGACTCAGTAATAGTACTAAAACAATGCTAAATTTCCTGATTTGATAACTGTATTTTGGTTCTGTAAAGAATGCTCTTATTCTCAGAAAATATACACTGATGTTCTTAGGGGTAAAGGGACACAATGCTTGCAATGTACTTCCAAACAGTGCTTGTGAGATAAAGGGAGAAGGAGAGGGAGAGGGGGAGGGGGAGGGGGAGGGAGAGAGAGAAAGAGAGAGAGAGAGAGAGAGATCTCCCATCCACTAGTTCACTCCCCCAAATGGCTGCAACAGCTGGGGCTGGACCAGGCTGAAGCCAGGAGCCAGGACTTCCATTCTGGTCTCCCATATACATGGCAGGGGCCCAAGTACTTGGGCCATCTTCTCTGCCCTCCCAAGATACGTATTAGTAGGGAACTACATCAGAAATGGAGCAACTGAGACTGGAACTGGTAATATCTATCAAAATCTTTGACCCTGCCATTTCACTTCTGGGTAACAATTTACTATTCAGAAATACCACTGTGCACAATAAACAAAGGTATTTTTAATGTATCTATCTATACATGCATACCCCCACACACATATGCATACATATATATACATGCATATACACACATATTTATCAATAGTAAAACTAGAAAAAAAATTGTTTTAATTTGAAAAGCAGAGAGAGTCGAGAAGAGCAACAGATGGAGAGAGATCTTCCATTACATGGGTTCCCTCCCCAGCTGCCCTCAACAGCCAGGACTGGGCCAGGCAGAACTCCATCCAGGGCTCCCACGGGGATGGCAGAGGCAATCAGGTGCTGCCTGCAATGGTGCATATTAGCAGGAAGATGGGACAGAAGCAGAGCAGTCAGGATTTGAATCAGGCACTACAATATGGAATAGAGGCATCCCACACAGCAACTTAACCAACGTATGAAACACTGGTCTCAGCAAAACAAAAAACAAAAAAATTAACTAAAAAACCAGCAAAGCGCTGGGGCGGGCGTTGTGGCACAGTGGGTAAACAGCCACTTGAGATGCCCACACCCCATAACTGAGTGCTGAGGCTAGACTCCCACCTCTGCTTCAGATCCCATTTCTTGCTACAGCGCACCCTGGGAGGCGAAGATGTTGAGTACTTGGGTCCCTCAACCCACGTGGGAAACCTAGGTGGAGTTCCCAATTCCTTGGCTTCAGCCTGGCCCACCCAGGGCAGTTGTGAGCATCAGAGGAGTGAACCAGCCAGAGGATACAGATTTCTCTCTTTCAATTAAATGAAAAATAGATAAATCAAAATTTGTTTAAAGAGCAAAGTTTTACAGAAACATCAACAAAGATGAAGTACCAATTGTATTCACCATCCCTTACCATGGATTTTTGCATACTATACAAAGCAAAAGAAATTAACAGTGAAGGGAAGCATTACAATATCATACTATAAAACCATTCAAGAAAATCAGTGAGGTAGAGAAATGGAAAGATGTCAAGATGAAAGGTAGGGGAAAAATAATGAAAAACATATGCTACATAAAAGCCCTTTTTTTGCTTTAAAAGGAAAAAAAAGGGGGAAATTTCAAGAAGTTATATCAAACTACAATGATTGCTTCTAAGTATAAAACTACAAAGTCTTATTGCAGTGTCTTTAGCTCTTAAAACATTTCTATAATATTAAAAAATTTTTCAATTAACCTTTTCTAAGGAGAAAAAATTACATTAAAAACTGTACATTAAAGTGGTCACCACTTAATATATATCAGGATACCACTTTATAATATTTAATGAACCTCTATAATCAGTATTATTTCTTGCTTTTAATAGCAAATTATTTTTTGTTTCCAAATAACAACTTATTTATTTAAAGCTGATTAGAGAACCTGAAGTTGGTTGAGGGGATAGCAGAGTCCCCAGTCAGCCTCCCACTCCTTGACACAGGAGAAAAACTGTTTGAGGGACCCAGCCAGTCAGAGGAAATGCAAGGAATCTGGTGACAAGTCAACCAGGCAAGAGGTTTCTTAAGTAATGGGGCCACAGCCCACCCCCACCCCAGGATTAAAGCAGCTTCACAATACGCATGCGGGGCTGCTGCTTCTGCATGTTTCTTTGACCACAAATGGGAGCACCACATCCATTTGATCAAACAGGTCTGACAGACAGCTCTCACGAAGTCCCTCAACCCCACCTGGAAGGCTTCACCATCACAGCAAAGTCATTCTCAGGTCTAACAGTCCCCTCTTCCAGCTTGATCGCAATGTGTTCTGCCACGTGCTAATAAATAAGCCACATTCATTTTAAAACCTGAGAAATTTTAGAGTAGGCTCAAGATTTAAAAAAGACCCACCATGGTTCTAGCACACCACCCATGGACCTTTGTTCAAATGATAGTCCACTCCTCAATAACAGCCCTTGTCTCTGGGGCCTGGGAGACCCTGTCAGGATACCCACAGTTAACCACTCTCTTACCTTGGACTTCGCATGCCAAGTGAAGTGCAAGAAATTTGTCTCACTGGGTACTAACAGGTTAAAGGATAGAGCGTAGTGACTAATAAGGTCGTTTCTCACGTAATAAAGTTCTGCATCGAGACCTAGAAAAAAATAGGAAAAAAATTAAACATCCAAAATACCTTCAAAATCATGGCCATCAGTATTTCTAATAATAGAGTGGAGATAACAAAATTATAAATATGTTACACATGGCTCGCGTGTGTGCTGCCCTACAATGTAGTAAGGACAATGGGTTTCATCACCACCACCAGAGACAAAACTTGAACCCAAAACAAGTTGTTCTCTGGCTAAAACATATGCAATAAAACTGCCTGCCAGTCTGTCTTCTGGACAGTGGGATGCTCTTCCCTCTGGATACAGTACCTCTCAGAGTAGAGCTTATGAAGAAACACTCCTCTCCAAGAACAGATGTGGATTTAGAAAGATTCAGCATGGAAGGCAGAAGGACATGGGAGGTAAAGCAGAGGTGTGAGCCAGCAGCTGCAGACGCCACCCAGAGACAACCTCCAAGTCCCCGCCCTCCTGCCAGCGGTTACCACGGCGGCACTCAGGCACACAGCCTCTTTCCCTCTTTCCCTCGACTGCAGGTAGATGTTACCACATTTCTCAGCACGGATGGAGTTCTCCGCCCAAAGCAGACACTCACTAGACAACACAGAAACAACGAACAAGCCTAAAACTGCTGGAGAAGCGACTCCCACGATTCACTCATTCCCATACGAGCTTCTTAACCAGGGCCACATCCAACCTCCAACACACAGCCCCTCTTCTGCAATCCTGCCATACTTTTTACACCACCTGCATTTAATATTTCGCTTGAATGCTGACTCATGGGCAGGTGTTCCGTGCAGCAGTTAAGAAGCCATGTGGGCTCGTGCAGCCCTTGTCGGAGCACCTGGGTTTGAGTTCGTTTCACTCCTGATTCCCATTTCCTGCTAACATGCACCCTGAAAGGCAGCAGGTAATAACCCATGAACTTGGGTTCCTGCTACTCCCACGGGAGACCTGGATTGTGTTTCAAGCTCCCAACGTCAAATCTGAGCCAGTCCCACCCAATGTGGGCATTTGGGGAGTAAACCAGTGGATAGCAATGTATCTCTGTCTCTGCCTTTCAAATAAATAACCTCTTAAAATAAAAATAAAATTGACCCAATCAAAAATCTTAAAGGAAAAGTTTGGGGCCGGCGCTGTGGCACAGCGGGTAAAGCCACTGCCTGCAGTGCTGGCATCCCATATGGGTGCTGGTTTGAGACCCAGCTGCTCCTCTTCTGATCCTACTCTCTGCTATGGCCTGGGAAGGCAGTAGAAGATGGTCCAAGCCCTTGGGCCTCTGAACCCACGTGGGAGACCTGGAAGGAGCTCCTGGCTCCTGGATTCGGATCGGCACAGCTCCAGCTGTTGCAGTCAATTGGGGAGTGAGCCAGCAGACGGAAGACCCCTCTCTCTCTCTCTCTCTCTCTCTCTGCCTCGCCTTCTCTGTGTAACTCTGACTTTCAAATAAATAAATAAATCTTTTTTTAAAAAAAAGGAAAAGTTCAATCTTAAGTGTAAAAATCAATTTTTGAAAAAAATACAAAGTAGCCAAAAAACAATTAAAATGAAAACAAAACAATATACTATATTCTAGGGCCTATCAAAGCAGTGAACTTGAACCCAGCCCATGGTTTACAAAAGGAGAGGAGAAAGGTATTACCAAGTGTTTGAGAGAGGTAAAGAATCACACAGAGTTTTCTCCACGATAAACCAAAAAAAAAAACTGCAAACATAAAAGGAGGAATTAACTTTCCCTTGAATTTATTTGTGATATTTAATGTTATGTCCAGGTTTTCCTCTAGTAATGCATGACAAAATATTCTACATGTTGAAGGAAAAAATATAAGGGGAGGCCACAGGAAATGTAAATTTTACATTTCCTGTAACCTCATGGTATGCTGAGAGGTTGTTATGGGGATCTCCTCCGTCCTAAGCATACAGGTACAGAAATAACTCTACTACAAGTACTTCGCCTATAAATTTAGTTTTCTCATTTCTGAACCAGATACAATACGATCATTAATTCAGAAATGACAGGCTTACCTGGGAAAGCTCTGCACTGCTGAGGGCCCAGTGTTTGATTTATCCTAGACAAGGCACTGAATGCAGTGAAATAAAGATGGAGGTTTTCTGCAGAAGACTTCCCTGAAGCCAGGACAGGCAGCGCCAGTTCCCCAGGAGGGAGGACTGGTGAGCTGGAGAAAGAGGGAAGCAGAGGAGACGAGGAGAAAGGAGGTAAAGATTTGGGAGAAAGCAAGATGGGAATGCAACAAGAAGGCTAAGTGCCCAATAATTCTAAATAGTTGAAATTTCTTTATTTAAGAAAAAAAAAAGCTGAGTCTTACTCTATTCCAGATAGATGCTGTTTGCCAGAGTTACACTTAGAACAAACCCTAGAAATATATGCTGGGTAAAAATAAGAAAAGCAAATGTAAAAGATGAGGCAGCACTCACATGACACAAACTAGAACTCAATGCAAAAAGACTTCATACTAATAAATCATTAATTAATATGAAATATATTAATAAGATTCCACATTAATGAAAACCACAAGATGCAGTAGTACAATTAACAAAAGAGCTTCAAATATAGAAAGAAAAATTAGGGAAAATAGCAACAAATAAACAAATCCACAACTGTAGTTGGAAACTAACATTCTCTAGGAAATCAAAAGATCAAAACATGTGAGGGGGCTGGCACTGTGGCTTAGTGGGTAAAGCCGCCACCTGCAGTGCCAGCAATCCATGTGGGCACCGGTTCTAGTCCGGCTGCTCCACTTCCAATCTAGCTCTCTGGTACAGCCTGGGAAAGCAGTAGAAGATGGCCCAAGTCTTTGGGCCCCTGCACCTACATGGGAAACCCGGAAGAAGCTCCTGGCTCCTGGCTCCGGATTGGCACAGCTCTGGCCGTTGCAGCCAGTTGGGAAGTGAGCCACCGGATGAAGACCTCTCTCTCTCTCTCTCTCTCTCTCTGTCTCTCCTTTTCTCTGTGTAACTCTGACTTTCAAATAAATAAATAAGTCTTTTCAAAAAGGAAAGTTATAACACCAATCTTACATAAACTCTATCAAAAAATGCTTGAAGGACTGCTTCCTAACTCATCTTAAGGGGGCAGCATCAGACTGGTACTAAAACCTAACATTACAAGATAATTATAGACCAAAATCCTTCGTTCTCCACAAAACAGTAGCAAACTAAATATATGAAAAAAGCATTAACACATCATGATCAAATGTGTAAGCTTAAATTTTTTTGAGATTTATTTATTTGAAAGAGTTACAGAGAGAGAGAACGAATTTCCATCCGTTGGTTCACTCCCAGGTGACTTGAATGGCAGGAATCGGCTAGCTTGGAACCAGAAACCTAGAACTCTATCAGGTCTCTCAAAAGGGTAGCAGGGACCTAGGTACTTGGGCCAAAACCCATTGCTTTCCCAACTGCATTAACAGGGAGCTGGAGAGAAAGTGGAGTAACTAGGATGCCCACAATGCCAGCCCCAAGGCTGAGCTTTTAAGAAATTCCATAAAAATCACTTCATCAGACAAACCCAGATTATCTCAATGGATACAGAAAAGACAGCTGCCAAAATTCAAAGGCATGTTGGTGGGGAAAAAAGCCAAAACTGTCAGCAAACTAGAAACAGGCAGAAACTTCCTCAGGCTGGTAAAAGCATCTACAAAAATCTTACAGCTAACATCATATTCGATGGTAATTATTAAGTCCTTATTCCTAGAATCAGAAATAAGGCAAAGATGTCCACTTCTACCACTTTTATTCAACCTTGCACTGAGGGTCTGAAATACCACTTAGAAAATTTAGCAAAAGCTTACAATTCAAGGCCAATATTAAAAAATGACTGCATTTATAAATAACTGAAAAGTAAAATTTGTAACTCAATACCATAACATTAGATCATATTCACAGATCTAAGAATAAAGTTAACTAAAGCTTTGTGAAGAAGGACCCTTACACTGAAAACTACAAAACACATGGCTAAGAAAAAATAAAAGACCTATATAAGTGGAGAGATATTCCACTTTTGGGTGAGCCTCAATACTGTTAAGATGCCAAGCTTCAGATCATGGTTTTCTCCCCAAAATGCCCACAACAGTCAGAGTCGGCCAAACTGAAGCCAGGAGCCAGGAACTCCATCCAGATTTCCCATGTGAGTGACAGTGATTCCAGTACTTGAGCCAGCACTGCTGCCTCCCAGGGCGTACATTAGCAGGAAGTTAAAATCAAGAGCAGAGTCCAAAAACACTGATATAGGATTTGGGTGCCTCAGGAGGTGTCTTCACAGTCATACCAAACATCTGTCCTATCAAAACAATCTTAAAAAGAAAGAAACAATGTTGGGTGATCCACATTACCTGGTTTAGCAATTGCTTGAATTGCTATGGCAATCAAGACAAAGTGGTACTGGTATATAGACAGACATACCAGCAGAATAGAACAGAATCCAAAAATAAACCTGCAACTATACAGTCAATGGAATTTCAACAAAGGAAAAGGCAAATCAATTAAAATATTTTTAAAGGCTTATTTATTTAAAAGAGTTACATCAAGAGAGAGGAGAGGCAGAGAGAGAAAAAAAGAGAGAGAGAGAGGTAGGTTCACTCCCCAGATTGGCCGCAACAGCCGGAGCTGCGCCAATTAGAATCCAGGAGTCAGGAGCTTTTTTGGGGTCTCCCATGCAGGTGCAGGGGCCTGCTACTTCTATTGTTTTTCCAGGCCATAGCAGAGAGCTGGATTGGAAGTGGAGCATCCGGGACTAGAAACGGCACCCATATGGGATGCCAGCACTTCAGGCCAGGGTGTTAACTCGCTGCGCCACAGCAATGGCCCCAATTAAAATATTTTCAACAAGTGATGCTAAAGCAACTGGATGGATAATAACAAAATAATGGGAAAAAAGGGCCCTTATCTTATACATCACACAAAATGTGACTTGAGATATAAACCTCAGTGTAAATGCTGAAACTATAAAACTTCTAGAAGAAAATACAGCTAGGTATAAAAAGCTTAACAACCTGGAATAAGCAAAGAT